CCCCCTCCCTCCCCCCCACCCCCTTCCCACCCCCCCACCATCCTCCCACCCCCCTCCCACCCGCCCCTCCCAAGTCCCTCCCCCCTTCCCGGGACCCCCTCCTCCGGAGGAGGCCCCTCCCCAACTCCCCCGGCCCCCCCAGCCCAAGGGGTCGCTCTCGGCAATGGACACCGCGATCTCTGCACATCTGCGGCTCTAGTGCCGAGAGCGAACCCGCACCCTTTGCCCCCCGCCCGCGGAGCCCCCCGTGTGATGTCGGGACGGGCCGGAGCCCCGGCGGTGTCGGGCGGTGCTTGTGAACTGCAGGGGGGACCCGCCGAGCGGGACCGGCCCCGTGGAAAGGGGGATCCAGGGGGGGCGCCGGCTCCGGCCCTCGCGGCTTTATTAAACCCGGCGCCCCCAAGCCCGCGGCTGCGGGGACACGGCCCGGGGGACAGGGGGACGGACGGCACGGGCGGGGGGAGCAAGGACGGAGCGAGGGACGGGGGGGGGTCGGGCTGTGCAGAGGAGCAGCGAGGGGGGAGAAGGGGCAGGCAGGGGGCACCGGGGGCAGGTGGGGGGGTCGGGCTGTGCAGGAGGGCAGCGACAGCGGCCGGGGGGAGGCGACGTGCGGGGACGAGCAGGGCGGAGGGGCGGGAAGGAGGGCAGGGCGTGTCGGGGTGTGCAGCAGGGGCCGGAGGGGGAGCGGGGCCAGGCCGGCTGGGCCAGGCCGGCTGGGGGACCAGGGAGGGCGGAGGGGGTCGGGCTGCCCCTGCGGGGCAGGGAGGGGGCGCCGGGCACGAGCGGGTTGGGGAGGGAGGGAGGGGGGGGCTAGGGGGGAGAGGGAGGGGGGGGGGTTGGGGGGGGGAGGGTGTGGGGGGTAGGGGGGGGGAGGAAGGAAGGGGACGAAGGAACGAGAACAAAGTAAAAGAAAAGGGAAAAGCAAAAGCAAAGAAAAAGAGCCGCGGCAGCGAGAGGCTCCCGCGGCGCTGCTGCCTCCCCGCGCACTGCCCGAGCAAATGGCTGTGGGGGCGAGTTCCGGCGCTTAAATACCCCCGCCCCGACCCACCCCCTGCCCGTCCCCGCCCCGCGCACCTGGACGGGCCCCGCCTCGCACACCTGTGCGGGCCCCGCTCCGCCCCGGCCCCGCCCCGCCCGCGGGGTTTAAAGCCGGCAGAGCCGCGGTCGCCCCGCGTTTGTGGAAGAAGCTCGTACCGGGATGCTGCGGGAGCGATCGGCGCTCGGGGCCGGAGTCCCGGCCCGGCGGCTGCTCCCGGCGCTGCGCCGAGCTCGGGGCGCTGAGCGGGGACGGCACCGGGGAACCGAGGCTGGCTTGGAGCTGCGATGGGGTTCGGCAGTGGTACGGGGATCGGCATCGTTGGACTCGCTGCGGGGTGGGCGCTGGGGCCGAGCTCGGCAGGGCAGTTCGGGCCGGGGCTCTGCCGGGGCCCGGTTGGGGGAGAACGGCGGCGCTTCCCTCGTACAGACGCGGAACCCGGGCCGGGACCGGCCGGGGCGCGGGGACACGCCGGGCCGGCCCCGGGACCCCCCGATCCCGCCGGGCCCGCAGCGCCGCCCGCACCCCCCGCGGGATCGGAGCTCCTCCCTCTCGGGCACCCCCGAGGCCACCGCACCCCCCCCCACCGAAGAACATCGCCCGCCTCCCCCTTCCCCGCGGCCCCAGGAGGTTCCCGCCCGCAGGGCCCCCCGGGAACGAGGGCTCTGGGGCCCGCCTGGGTTCCGGCCACGGGCCCGCTCCGGCCGCGGGGAGCCGGGGCAGGGAAGAACGGGGGCAGCCGCTCCCTCGTTCCTCCCGTGCTCCGGGACCCCGAGCAGAGCTGCCCGTCTGTCCCCGTGTCCCTGTGTCTGTCCTCAGGCGGCCCCAGGAGCTGGCGCTGACCGTGCCGCGGGTCGGGCACAGGCTGCTCCCAGCTCTGCCTGCGGAACTTCGGGAATTGCCGACAGCAGTTCTTTGCCCTGCCATCCAGAAGGTGCGGCTCTTCTGACACCTGCCAGGTGAGACCTGAGGTTCTCCTTCCTCTCCCCCGCTTCCTCGGCAACTCGTACCCTCCCGGGGCAAACCCTCTGCTTTTTAAAAATCCCCCATCTTTATTTGCAGACGGGGAAGGTCCTGCCTGGGAGGGAAACGGCTATAGCGGAGGAAACCAAGAAACGCTCCAACCGGACGGTGCCGCGCGAGTCAAAGGAGGGAAGAAGCGCAGGCAAATACAGTCAGGAAATCCGCTTTTATTAAATCTCTGCAGCATTAAATCCCCCCTTCCCAGCCACGGGCCGGAGGGAGCGCGGCCGGCTGGGCTGTGCCCGGCTGGGGACGGGCACCAATTCATCGCTGCCGTGCTCAGGGAGGTTTTCCGGCCCTGTCCGGGATTCGCCCAATGGCTGCAAAGGTGCTCGTGTGACGTCCGAGCTCATTTCCAAGGATAAAGGAGCCAACCGAGTCGGGAGGGATCCCTCGCTCCGAGGCAAAGGCGTCGGTCGAGTGTCGCCGCCTGGTCCCGCCTGCGGGGGTCGTCTCCTCCAGGTGAGTCTTCGGATCCCAAAATGCCGGGGGGGCCTCAGGTCGGGGCCGCTTTTCGGGCCCGGAGTTGGACGGAGCCCTCGGCGGCTCCCGCTTCCCGCCAGGAACGTTCTCGGGGCTCCCTGGGCAGTCCCAACTGGGCAGGGAACGCGGGCCGGGAGGAGGCCGGAGCGACAGACAGTGACCCAGCCCTGCTTGGGCTTCCTATTGCCAGGGGATGGAGGAGCTGTGCCCTGCACTGCCCTGCCGGGGCTCCCGGCGCTCCGGAGCGTCCGGAGCTCAGGCAATCCCGCCCGCAGCCGCAGGACTCCCAGCACAGCTCCTGGCAGCAGGGATGGAGCAGCCCCGGGCCAGCGCTTCCATCGGGCACAAGATGGATTTGTCTCCCGAGCAGGGCTCGTCCGCCAAACGCACATCCCAGGGGGGGGAACCAGCCACGGGCACCGGGGTGGGCACGGGGAAAGGACTGCCTGCGGCTCCTCAGCCGGGGGCTGCTCTGAACGGGCCCCCTGAGATGCCTCACCCTGGACACGCCCCAGCGACAGCCCCAAAGGACCCAAAGAATCCAGCTGGCACTCGGCAGTGTCGGCACGGCGGGGCTGCAGAGCAGCGCGGGCAGCCATTCCCAGGGCCCACCTCCCAGAGCTGTCCCGCGCCCCCCACGTGTGTCCCGCCCGCCCCAAATCCCTGCCCTTCCAGCCGGAGGCCAGCAGCCAGCAGCAGCCTTAAAGCCAGGGCAATGTGCCCTCAGCGGCACTAAATCCCGAGCAAGAGCCCTCGGAGATGCCTGAAAAGAAAAGGGGATGCTCGGAGAAAGTCGGGCTCGGAGGCAATTCGCAGTTTTTCGGGGACCCAACCGCACCTGCAGAACCCGTGGACAGCTTGAACAGGTGGGTCAGAGCCGAGGTGCCCTGAAGGCAGGGCTGTGCATCCCTTTCCTCGGGGAAAAGAACTCCCCGGGGCCGCTCCCGAGGCTCCGAAGGGACAGCGGCTTCCCGCCCGGAGAGACGTCCTCGCCCGTGCTCAGGGGCTGCCTCGCCCCGGGCCGGGAGCGCGTCCGGCCCCCGCCTTCTCCTGGGCCAACACATCCCCTGGAGCCCGGCCCGGGCGGAAAACCGGCCGAATTCCAGCGAACTCGCTCAAGTTCCCCCAGGGACACCAGCGGGGCTGGGGGAGGAGGGTTATAAACAGCAAAGTCTGTGGAATATCAACCTGTCCTTGTCCCGATCCCGCTGAGCAAACCTGGCACCGTGGCTGCTTCCTGGCAAACCTGGCGTTAGAGCGGCAGCTCTGCGGGGGAAGATCCGGGCTCCAGGAGGCACTGGGAGGCTGTTCCAGCAGGAATTCGGCATGGAATTGCGGGCTGTAGGTAGAATTCATCCAAACCTGCAAAGCTGAGACCGGAACCCAAACCTGGGCCCCCTGCAGAGAACAATCTTTGTGCTGCCGTGTCGGCCAAAGCCGCTGCCCAACAATCCCCTCGTTTGACTTTCTAGGTGAATTGTGCACAAGCCAGTCCCCCATTCCCTATCCAGGCTGGGAGTGCTCGTGCCCTTGGCACAGATGGCTCTGGCTGGGCAGGAACTGAGAGCAGGACATGGGGCAGAGTGGATCAGCTGCCCAGGGAACCTCCAGCAGATGAAGCTACGGGATCCTCATTCCAATCAAGGGAACACATTCTGTCTCTGGCAGAAGCCGGGAGCCAAAGCAGATCCCGCCTGGCCAGGCTGGGGGGCAGCAGTTGGATCCACTCTGGGGGAAAGCCCCTGTGCCTGCCAGGAGCTCTGACTCTGTTTGTCCTGCCAGCTCCTGACCAGTGTCAGGGCCACTGGGAGGGATTCAGAATCCAAAGAAATCCCAAATCCTACTGAGGGACTCAATCAAAGGAAGAAAGTAATTTTTGTCATAAAAAGCTTAAAAAAACTGTTAAAAATTCTAGGACAGTATTGACTGGGATTCTCAGGAAACTTATTAGTGCTCTTGGTTCCATTTCAATGTATCTTTAGTCCGTCAATGAGCAGCTTGGAGAACTTCCCCTGGGATTTGGAGGCTGAGCAGGGTTTGCTTTGGATTGCCTGGCACCTCTGGCCCCAGCTGGTGCAAACACAACTTGGGCCAATGTGGTTTAACACACTTTCCCACACAAACAGTTGCTGTATCCCCTAGAAATTGCCCTAAATCTGCAGATAAAACCTTCATCTCTGTCCCTCCTCAGTTTTCCCAGGTTTTCCCAGCTGGGAGCTGCAAGGAGGCTGTAAATTGAAAGGCAGAAGGAGAAGATCTGTCAGCAAAAGGCACAAAGAAGGGGACAGGTTTCAGAAAACATTTCTGCAATCTAATGAAGAACTCTTTCCAGTTTCCCAGGGAGAAGAACAGGAACTCACAGCCACCAAGGCCTGACAGTCCCCTGCAGCCAGAGCTCAGCACACAGCCAGAGAGGCAATTCCAGCATCTAAAAGAAAAAAAGAAGAAAAAAGTGACTTATTTTGTTTTAAAGTTATTTTAAGTTGTTCCAAGCAAAGCAAGCCTTGCTCTGGTTTCATTCACTGCCCTGCAGATTTGCTCAAGTTTCACCCTCAGAAATTTCTCTGCCTCTCCCCTCCTGACTGCCTCACTTTCTTCCAAAATGTTCCTTCTCTCTGCTGCACATTGCCACAGATTTGACTCCCACAATTTTCCCTACCTCTCCACAGCTGATCACCTCATGTATACCTAAATATGTTCATGCTCTACCCTACAGACCACCTCAAGTTTACTCTCAAAACTTTCCCTACCTGCGCATCACTGACTACCTCCTTTTGACCTCCAAATATTCATTCTCCACCCTGGAGAGTTTCTCAAGTTTTACCTGTCCCCTGATGACTGCCTTAGTTTATCCCAAAATGTTCATTCTCTCTGCCAGACACTGCCACACATTTTATCCCCAGAATCTTCCCTGAGCCCACTGGAGTGTCCACTCCTGATTGCCTCCTCTGCACCTCTCAGGATTCATTCTGGACCCTGGAGATTACCTCGAAGATTTCTGCCCTAAATGTCCCTACCTGGCCACCACTGATTCCCTCAGTTGACCTCATGATGTCCTTTCTCTCCCCTGGAGATAACCTCGTTCAAAACCCCCAGAGTTTTAACTCAAAATATTCGTTCTATGTCCTGAACATTACCCCAAATTTTACCCCTGTAATTTTCCCCATATGTCCACAAATGATTACCCCAGTTTACCTCAGGATGTACATTCTCTGCTCCATGTGACCTCAAATTTGACAAACAGAAATTTTCCCTCCCTGCCCAACACTGACTGCCTCACTTTACCCCGAGGTATTCATTCTCTCTGCTACAGATTTTACTCCCAAAATTCTCCTTACCTACCCACATGTAATCACCTCTTCTGTACAAATACATGTTCATTCTCTGCCTTGTGGGCTACCTCCTGTTTACCCTAAAACACTCCCCAGCTGTCCACCACTGAGTACCTCATTTATCCTTCAAAATATTCACTCTCTGCCCTGGACGTTCCCTCAAGTTTTACCCCCAAAGGTTTCCCCTCCTGCCCACCCCTGACTGCCTCAGTGTCCAGCAGGAGGTACATCCTCTCTGCTACAGGTCACCTCACACTGCACCCACTGCATTTTCCCGACCTCTCCACATCTCAGCAACTCACTTCTACGTCAAGATGTTCATTCTCTACCCAGCACACCACCTCCAGTTCACTCTCAACACTTTCCCCACCTCTCCACCACCCAGGAACTCATTTTCACCTCAGAAGATTCACTCTCTGCCCTGCACATTCCCACAAGTTTTACCCCCCACATTTTCCCTGCAGGTCCGCAAGGTTTACCCCAGTTTAGCCCAGGAGGTGCATTCTCTCTCCTCCACATGACCTCTGATTTTACAAACACAAATTTTCCCTCCCTGCCCACCACTGACTGCCTCACTGGACCTCAAAAGGCTCCTTTTCTCCCCTAGGTGACATCCACACTTACCCTCACAGTTTTCCCTGCCTGCAAACTACTTATTACTTCATTTTTTCCTCCAAAGATTTGTCCTCTGCCACACAGATGACCTCAGATTTTTCCCCCAAAACCTCCTTACCTGTCCACTACTGTTTGCCCCAGTTTACCCCAGGAGGTGCATTCTCTCTGCTGCACATTACCTCAGGTTTGACAAACAAAGATTTCCCTCCCTGACCACTACTGACTGCCTCACCTTACCCCAAAAGATTCATTCTCTCTGGGACAGATTGCCCCACATTTTACTCCCAACATCTGCCTTACCTGTCCACGTCTGACCAGCTCCTTTGTACCTACAGAGGGTCATTCTGCACCCCACAGACACCTCAGGCTTATCTCAAACCTCTCCCCACCTGTCTGCCACCGAGTGCCTCATCTTTACCTCAACAGGTTCCTTCTCTTCCCAGCAGATTGCCTGAACTTTAACACCCACAATTGTCTGTGTCTCTCACCACTCATCACCTCAGGTTACCTCAGTGTGTTCATTCCCTGCCCTGCAGAGAATCAACCTCCTTCTTAACCCCCAAACTTTCCCCTTTCAGCCCACTCCTGATTACCTCTTCTTGAACATAAAAGAGTCATTCTCTCCCCAGAGTCTTCCCTACTGCACACTCCTGCTTACCTCTTTTGGACCTCCAAATATTCATTCTCTGCTCTGCAGTTTTGCTCAAGGTTCACACTCAGAAATTTCCCTACCTCTCCCCTACTGACTGCCTCACTTTATTCCAAAATGTTCCTTCTCTCTGCTGCACATTGCCACAGATTTGACCCCCACAATTTTCCCTACAAGTCCACCACTGAGTACCTCCTGTTCACCTCTCAATATTCATTCTCTACCATGCAGATTACCTCAGATATTTCCCCCCCAGATTTTCCCTACGAGTCCACAAATGATTACCCCAGTTTACCTCAGGATGTACATTCTCTGCTCCACGTGACATCAAATTTGACAAACACAAATTTTCCCTACCTGCCCAACACTGACTGCCTCACTTTACCCCGAGGTATTCATTCTCTCTGCTACAGATTGCCCAGATTTTATCCCAAAATTCTCCTTACCTACCCACATGTAATCAGCTCCTCTGTACAAATACATGTTCATTCTCTACCCTGTGGGCTACCCCCAAGTTTGCTCCATCCCAAACCTGGGGGCAACATTCAGACAGTCTGGAAACACTCCCCTTCCCTGCTACTCCGTCCTTCCTTACACCTCCAGTGCCCAGGGAGCAAATGCCAACAGCAGGAGGAGAGAAAGGTGTCCCTCTGACTTACCCCACCCCACGGGCAGCACCAGGAGCCCCCAGCCCGGCCGGCGGGGCTGCAGCCTCTTGCCTTTGGCTGCTCCCAGCCCAGGGCACTTGGCAGAGCTGGGCTGGATCAGGGCTTTGGCCTGGCCTGGAAGAGAGGAGAACAAGGCAATTAAGGGCGCTGGGCAAGTCAAAGGCTCCTGCCCTTCACTCTTCTGTTCAGTTGCTCACTAGAGAGTTTTAGTCATGAAAAATCCAGGGGGGACAACAAATAAATGAGACCTTTTCCAGCATTTCCATTCCTATCTGTTTCAGGCATTAAAAGGAGGCTCATCTTTCTTACTGCATTCCTTGTCCCATTTGAACAGAACCCTTTTCATTCCAAACCTCCCTTGGGACTCAGTCAATCCTCTGCCATTGGACTTTGGGCAAAGGAAGAGACATTTGGGATGATGGACTCCAGGAAATCGGGGAAAGAAACCTGATAGGAAAAGGTCTCATGGCACTCCAGAACTCAGAAATGTGTTCATGCCTTGCCAGCCCACCCCCATTCTGTGCCACCCACCTGAGCTGGGCAGGTGAGGCCAAGGCTCCCCTTCCTCCTGCCAGTCACTGTCCCAGCACACGGATCCCCGGGCTGGGCAGCACTTGGAAAAACCTGGGAAAGGTAAAAGGAAAATGGCACTGCCTGTCAGAAAACAAGTGTCTGTGAACATCCCTTCTGGACAAATGTAATCACATCCCTCTGCTCCAATAAACACAGGGCAGGCAGGTCTCTCCAGCCCAGGGGAGAAGAGGAAGGAGAACTGCAGGAACACAGGCAGGCACGGGCAGCTCTTGGCACTGATTCCCTGCAGACCTCTCTGCACTTGGGGCTCTTGGTACTTCAGTTCTAAGGAATGGGGGGGCAGCAGCCCAGGAATGCCCCTCAAAAACAGGGGCCTGGGCAGCTGGAGATCATAGGAGGGGAGTTGTGAGGGGAGACACAGAGAGAGAACAGGAACGGGGGTTGTTTGGGAACAGGGTGTGTGTCCAGCAGGGAGGGGAACTGGAAACACGGGAGGCTGGAGGAAGGCAGGGGGTGAGCACGGGCCTGCCTTGGATGGATCCTTTTTCCCTTTGCTCAGGGGCCTCAGCTCCACCCTCGCTGAGAGCAGGGGAAGAGTTCATTTAGGCACAAGGCAGTGATGCAGCCACTGGGGCAGGGGAAGAGGGGACAGGAACTGAGAGCAACTGACACCAAAATGACACAATCACCACTGAAAGGGACTTTATTGAGCTGCAACACAAACACAGTCACAGCACGCCAGGGCCAGAGGTACCCACAGCACCACCAACACAGCAGCTGGGCTTGCAGGAACACCATCTACTCAAGTTATGGAGCCAGGGGCTGACAGTTGGCATCCATCCTAAAGATGCACTCAGGCATCAGGGCCAAGTCCTGCCCACTCACGGCACAGTTCAGCCCCAGCAGCAGTGGCATTTTCTGCCTCTCCCTCCAATCTCATTTGGGACCCAACAGTTCAATGCTGGGGAATTTTAGCTTCATCAATGTTTTACAAAGTTGTGCTTCCTGAGAACTGGTGCATTTTTGAGTCTTCCTGACTCTTCCAGTGCTGCACTTGCCAGGATCCTTTGGGCCTGGTGTTTTGCTGACAGACAGGGCACTCCAGGAAACAACTTCCCACCAGTCATGGAAGAATAGGAACAGCTTAAACAAACCCAATCCAACACATGGGATACAGATTTAGGGGATACAAAAGGAAAGGAGCAAGGCATCCCATCCTGACTGCCCCAGAGACAGAACTGTGGCTCAGCAGAAATCCCTCCCCCACGGCCCCTCCCGCTCCCCCCCAGCCCACACGGCAGCCCCGGGGCAGCCGATCCCGCAGGCTCCAGCACTGGGACAATTCCTGCGGGTGCCTCCACCCCCGGGGAGGCTGCGGGGCGGCTCCAAGGGGATCCCGCTGGCCAGGCTCTGCCCAACCAAGCCGGCTTTAGGCCAGGCCTGGCACTGTGGGGCCGTGGCCACGGGCAGGTTGGCCTGAGCTCCCCGTTGGCCACCCCTGGAGCGCTGGGCAGGCGCCCCGGCGGGGCCAAGGGGAGAGGGCACGGAACAGCTGCACACACCTTTGCTGCCTTGGCCCAGCACACACTCACAGCACCTGCAGCCTTTAGCCAGGGCCCCTGAGCACACACAGCCCTTACCCTGCTCCTCAGGGGCAGCAGCCCCGGGGCTCAATTCGCAGCCAACTTCTCATCCTTTCCTTTGGTCCTTTGAGCCCTGGGCAGGGCAGAGACACGGGAGAAGCACCTTCCTGGCATTGATCCCAGAGACAGCAACTCTGTTGTTCATAAAGTCAGTACAATAATTACTGGGATTAGTGGATGGATTAAAGTGTTCCAAAACTTTGTAGCAGGTGGTGAGAATCCTGTAAATATGTCCCAGCAGTGGGGAGCAGTGAGCTGTTCTAACCTGATGCCCAAAGCTCACTAATTGACCCCTAGAGTTACTGTTTGCATTTGGTGATCAAGTCAAGTCTTATTTCAAATTTGCAGGGCAATAATTTGCACTTACATACAAAAATCCCTGGTTTACTTACATTGAAGTGTGTTATTTTTCCAGCACGATATCAGTCGGTGCACTGCAGCAATTCAGGAGACAACAGCCAGTTAATTTTTGCAATCCAGGATGGGAATACAGTCCTCCAGATCAGTTCATTGGTACCCATTAAGTCATTCTGTGCCTTATTTCTTTGTATTACAATATACACACTATGGCATGGACTACTTTTGCCTCCCCCCGTCGTGACTCTGGCACGGGTTATCTGCTCCTGCTTTCCAAAAGTGCCTCCCCCTGATAGATTTGGCTGACCCAGCAGTGAGCCATGCATGCTCCCTCTCTTCTCCCAGCACTTGCTTTGGGGCTTTGCCCCATTGCCCCAGTGATTTGTGCTCACTGTCCAGGGGATCTACACCTGTTGCTTAAACCACAGGGCCGTTGGCAACTCCCTCACGAGGCCTCGCTCCTGCCCCGACCCCTGCTCTGGCTCTGGCTCGGATACACCATCTCCATTTCATGGGGCTGCCTTCCTGAGCATGGCCTGGCCTGTGCACCCTGGAGGAGCTTTTGACCCAAGGCCTTAGGGGGACTTCAGGCCCTCTTATCATTTGTTGTTCCCACTAAAGCCCAATAACGTACTCAGAGCCACTTCTCCAACAGGGTCGATCTTGGGCTGGCTTCCAGTAACTTCCTATTCCCAAATCCTAAGGGCACTTCCTTCCTACCTGGAACAGTTCGTTGGGATACATGCCCGGAATAAAGACAAGTGCCACAAACATTCAAACACACAAAATATCTTTATTGCAGTGAGAAGAAGAAGAATAATCAACTTAGCAAAGAGAATCAAAAGTTCAAAAAGGATACAAATGAACTACCTTGTCATGTGGCATTAAAACAAATACTAAGAACAGCATTCAATACACTATAATAATAACTAGTAAAAAGGGAGTCAAAGGGATACCAAAAAGGATCTTCACACAATATTATGGGTAACTACTGACACGATATTTGGTTAGTAAAAGGGGACATTAAAGGGAAAATATTATGAGTACTAAATAAAGGGTATTAAAGGAACACTAAAGGATATTTAAAGTCTTCCCATCACTAAACTCTGCCTACCCACACAGACAGGCCAGGGCTGTCAGGATCTGCAGCAGCTGGTCGGTGCCCATCCCTTAGCGGGCGTCCCCGCGGAGCAACACAGGCTCGGTGGCAGGATGAGGATCGCTCAGCTCAGCAGTCCTGACAGCCCATTTTTATCAGCTCCACATTACACCACGTAGGGCCAGGACGCAGTGTAAGGGGAGGCCTGAATGGCAGCCAAACACCGCCCGATCATTGCCTGATGGCAACAGTCTGGGCCTGCCCTACTTGTAGGGCAAGGGGCCAGCGACCCCTGCCCACATCATCTTCCTCTCACCAGCATCTTTCTCACCCCTATGGATGACCTCTACCCTTGTGTTTCAAGGGCAGAGGTATCTATCTGGCAAGATGTAGCAGAACCAAGGAAGAACTCAGCTCTCAGAACGGGAGATCAGGCTGACTTGCTGAAAAGCACAATGGACCTTACAATTAGCTTGTGCCATCAAGTTCCATTGTACCATACTCCAGCCGGTTTCACATCCTAATAGGATTTCTTTCTCACACCTCTATGCTCCATTGATCATCTCATTCAACAGTTCCCCCCTTACATTACCCTACTTCTGCCAGAGGCTCCAAGGGGCATCATTAGCACTGGCAGGAACCTTTAGTTCCCCCTCTCTGGCTCGTATTGGCCACAGGTCCGGAGCCTGTTGAATTGCTCCCTGAGCTGCTTCAAACCCTCCTGGCTGCTCATTTCCCACTCAAACTCACACTTCTGTCCTGGGACTTTATGGCACGGGCCATAAAGAGGGGGGGACTGTGAGGGGGGGAAACGTGCCCAGGGAAAGGGAACTGCCCTCAGTGTTCCCCAGCACAAGGCAGCCCTTGGAAATATCCACTGCAATGGGACACTCAGGGACAGCAACAAGCACCTGCACAAGGCTGCTCTGGCACAGGACCAATTTTAAGCTCAGCTTTTCTCTGCACCACTTCACTTGGTTTCCCATCTCATCCTGCAGTCAAAACTTGCTGCCCTTGCAACTTTTTAGGCTGACCATAAATTAAAGAGGCCTCTGCTCCAGCACCCACGAGGGCCTGAACCGTCTGACAGGATCCATTTTTCCAGGGAATTCAAAGCTCCACCTGAGGACCACGGTCTTTTCTCACCCATCCTTGTGCTGGAGCTTGGCCTCCATCTCACTCTGCTTTCAGTTCTTTCCACGGTTACAACATTGGCAGCCCTGGCCCTGGGTGGAGCTCGGCATCCTGATCCCATCCCTCCTGGCCCCCGGAACCGCTGGCTCAGCAATGGGGGGCCCTCCATTGCCAAGGGCACGGTCCCGTCGGGGCTCACGGGGGGAGCAGGACGTCGAAGGCTCCATTCCTCCTGCTACAACCTTCCACCACTACAGCCAA